CCAAATGTGTGATGGCAGTCAATTTGAACGGCAAGTGTTTTTTTTTGCAAATAAATGCTTGAATTTGAAGCCGTGTCGATTGTGTTTTTGGTCGGTTTGTCTCCAACCTTGTCATAATATATATAAGTAGGGGAAAGTTTATCATATTGAGCTGAAACTTCACAGGGGTGTTGAGAAAAATAAGGAGAACACTATGTTGTAGTTTGAAATAATTTTATTCAGTTTTACCACTTTTATTGAACTTTTCGTTTTTCACTGTCAAGCCCAGTGCTTGGGCTACCTGTGGTGTCACACGTAAAAAAACGCTCGTGCAACTTCAACATTTTTTTGCGCGACACAAGTTGCACGAAAAAAAACGCCAGTGTGACACGGCCTTTAGGTACCATTTCTATAGAAGGTGAATCCAATAAGTGAATTTATGTTTATCAAAACACTGTAACCATAGTCCCTTTCGGTCGTGCAATCTCCCTTCGACAATCGCCGTTCTCCCCGACAACGTTTTTTGAAATAGCTGTATATATTGATGAATAAATGAGAAAAAAGCGAAAACAAAAGAAGAAAACCACAAGCGCGCGCTAAATTTACCTRATTCTTTGCTTGCTGATTTACTTTGTTTGACAAATAGCTTTCGCCGAGACCTCAAAAAATCTTGTAACAGCCATAAACTTTACAAATGTAAATCACTCCAACATAAAGATTTTCGTACGTACAGGCCAGGGACTACCAAGAATAGTGAAAACTAGTTTCGTTTATTAAAACCTCTTCAGTTCACTATATGTTTTACAACAGTTNATAAGCATGAACCGGCTGTTTTTGGCGGGAAAATCAAAAGTTACCATGAATGTGCCAGGCCTAAGCAGTCTTGCGTGACCAACAAATTAAACTATATCAAAGAATTCATTGCCACTGTTCAAGCGCAATCAATTAAAGCAGAAATCTAAAGTTTCTCGACAGTTGAAGGCTATAACAAACGACAGTTTCTTGTTCAGCCGCTTATACATTGGTAGTCAGCAGCGAGATGGAGACTTAGACGAGTTCTTTGGACATGAGAACCAACCTTACCCGCCATCGTTGTCTGAGCTTGGTGATCTACGATCTACTAAGAAGTCTGACCTCATTGAATGCCTTACACGAGATGTATGTCAACCCAGTCCACCAGAATTGTATGGCGTTAAAGTATATGACGGTGCAGCCTTAGTACACGCACTGCCAGTATCATCTGCATCTACATTCGAAGAATATGCAAGAATCGTTTTCTTACCATTCGTCAGTAGCACACTAAACACCAGCTCCAGAACCGACATTGTATGGGATGAGTACAAACATCCTAGCTTAACAGATGCCACTCGTCAAAAAAGAGGGACAGGTGTACGAAAGAAGGTGGCGGGACACGTCAGTATGCCTCGAAACTGGAAGACATTTCTTGGTGATGAGAGAAACAAGAAAGAATTGTTTCAATTCCTGACTGCCCAGGTCAGCAAAACATCCTCTCCTGAAGATAAAGTGGTCGTCATAACCTCAGGTAGGTGGGAGGAAGGAAGGGGGAAGGAATGGAGGGGTTTGAAACCATATTGTGCTAATAACATACATCTTGATATACTTGTATTTACCAAAAAATAACGCCTTTTAGGAGAATCTGTCATTTCATTCAACTGCTCAAGAAGTATGCCAGACTGCGACCATGAAGAGGCGGAGACACGGATATTTGTGCACGTCAAAGATGCCGTTCAGAACGGTGTGGTGGTAATTGCGATCCATGTGTACAACAATTTGCGATTGGTTAGGCCTGACGTATGTATTTGGATAGCATTTGGCATGGGCAAATATTTTCAATATATCTCCATAAACGCTATCTGCGAGACTATGGGGCCAAAAAAAGGCAAAGGCACYGCCGATGTTCCATGCCATCACCGGATGTGATACAACTTCCTCCTTGCAGGGTAAAGGGAAAAAATCAGCCTGGGACGCTTGGAAAGCATATGAAGGAGTCACAGATGCGTTCTTAGGGTAAATAAATCTAGTGCATACAGAAACATGGTAGAAGTAGCTGACCATAACGCTGATTTTTTGTGTAATCCTCGTTCTTTGCCATTTGTAGTATTTTAGACCAAGCGTTCATTCCACTGGAATTAAACTCTTCAGCATTTTCCATGRTTGAAAGATTTATCGTTGTGCTGTATGACAAAAACAGTGCGTCAAGTAAGGTCAACTCTACAAGGAGAGAACTTTTCACCAAACGAGGACGGGCACTTGAGAGTCAGTTCCACCAACGCAGGTAAGATGAAATTGACATTTATTGATCTTTGATTTTAGTTGCTGTCGTCAAGGTTTTTTAATGAWGTRTATCCATGCATATTTAGGATGCCCTGCTATTGCACTGCAACAGAGCTAACTATCAAGCTAGTGTCTGGACTACTATGGATAGSTATCAGAGAGTYCCATCTCCAGAAGCCTTCGGATGGTCACGTCAAGAGGATGGTTGGCATCCAATTTGGACAACATTACCAGAAGCATCAAAGTCGTGCAGAGAATTGCTCAGTTGTGKATGCACAACTGGATGTAGTASCAATCGCTGCAAATGCATGAAAAGCAATCTTCCATGCACAGAACTATGCAACTGCACAAACAYGTGCCAGAATTCTAAGATGWAATTTTTAAATGYGTTCATATGTTCAGTTAATAATTATTCACATGCATAGAAATTGATTATAAAGCACAGCAACAGAATGATACTAGTGTAAATTAAGTTTAGGGTATTGTTTATGATGCATACTTTGTGTAGTGAAAACAATTAAGACCTMAATGTACAGACATAAATCTCTTAATTGAGYTCAAGTACTTACGTTTCTAAGCTTTATAGATTTGGAATAATTGATAACAACGATAGTCTTGGCCATGTATAAAGTTAGAGGATAGATATTGGCTGTAATAATCGATGGCAAAAACGACTACTTTTAGTACCCTACYCTTTGCGTCATTTTCTTGGTTTTGCAACTAACCTTTCATCTTTTCTAGCACCCCCCCCCCCCCAATTACCCCCCCCTCCCCCAATTATAGTTGAGCTGCATTAATGTGCTAAAATGTACATCAAGTTGTAATAAAGAACTTTGTCCATAAGATGCCTTATCTCTCCTTGGTTATCAGTTTGTTTATGTCGGTTTCTGCCAAGTAAGGGGCGACAAATAACGGGATTTAAGCGTTCGTGACAAAACTGCTCCTCCCCTCCCCCCCTTTGTCCCGATTTTTTGRCACCCCTTCTGAAATCGCTTAGATTGCCCCAAGGAATATCTGTGCCAAGTTTGGTACCTGTACGCAAAAATGCACATAAAAATCGCTAAGCCACCCCACTATACATTTTAAAAGCGTGCGCATTCGTTCTTTTAAGCCTGTAAAGCAATAGTTCGGCGGCCTATGACTCGACTCGTTTTCGAAGRTTAGTTGTAAAGTTCCTTTATACAATGTATACAAACTCTTTTACGTGTCTTGAGCTAGACACAGCATTTTATGCATTTGTAAGTTTGGTATTTCTAAAGAATATTTCAGATTTTTTGAAGCTTTACGTGGCTTGTTTGCCGACAAAAGTACGATTGCTTCGCTTGGCGTATTACACCAAGCTCTTTACTTGATAAGAGAAAATGTATGTGAGTCTATGTAAACAGTCGATTTATAGCATAAAGATACATTAAATTTCGCTGTTAGTTGCTGTGTGGATTATTTATTTAGCTTAGCCCCTAGTATGGGCAGGGACACCACAACAGCGTGAGTCAATTACTGCGGACCCTGTACTCTCACACTTACTACCTCTACATTAAATATTTTAGCACACAGCACTCCTCACATGTTGATTTTTACTGAGGGAGGAAAACCGGAGGACCCGGAGAAAAACCCTCGTGGCAAGGGAGAGAACAACACATCAAACAAACTCAAAGTCACATATGGTCCCTGCCCGGGAATCGAACCGGGACCACAGCGGTGAGAGGCCAGCAGCTTAACCACTAGACCACCCGTGCCATCCAAACGTTACCGGTAAGATAGTTACCGGTAATTTCTGGAGCGATTTTCAGAACTTTTATGGATTATTTTCCCCTCTTACTATAATCAGATTATAGCAAGAGGCATAGGCCAAATTGCAATCATGTTTCAATGATAATAATGCATTAATAATGCATAATTAGATTAATGTTTTGTAAATAGGTGGCAATGTTCGGCCGTTATCTCTATTTGCGATGGTGCCTTTCTCAATAAACCATTAATCTAATTAGTATTATATATTCTTATGTACAGCCTTTTGCAAAAATTATGAGAATTGTTGAAATATCTAAATATCATAATATCGAGTGCATGATGGGTAATCCCGCGCGATGCCCTTAGTCCCTTGTCTTTGTAGTTTAGGGKTTTTTTTGGCGACAGACTTATCCGTAGTTCTGAACATTTTCTCGATGTCAACAATGAATTCTTTAGCAAACYCGYGTGTTCCRGACAATATATGGATATGGATATTATGATATTTAGATATTTAGACAATTCTCATAATTTTTGCAAAAGGCTGTATACGATTCTATTATAATATTTTTAGATATATATGTTTTTACTTTTTTACTAAATTGTTTGTATGCTAATAGCGTTATTCCATCGTTTTTATCGTTATATTGCTCATCTTTATTAATTTTTATTGTTACCCGGTTATTATGTCTATCCATAAATTCTGATTTGTTGATTTTTATCTTTTCTCATGTGAATTAATCTTCTTATATATATATCTTGTAATTTTATGCTATTCTGATCACCCTGATGATGGWCGATCGTCCGAAAGCTTGGGATTATTAGTTTTTTTTCTTATTAATGTTTTTGCTGGAGATACATACTGTTTGTTTAATATAAAGCAACATAACTATTCTAAATAAAATCTTGATGAATTATTCAAATATTGATTAAAAAGTTGAATAAAAAATATGTACATACATGTAGCTCATAAACTCCACTGTATGCAAGTTTCTTACCAAAGTTTTCCCCACCCCAAATGTCCATCATGACATCATACTTGCCACTCTCTTCAAACCAGTCCTTGCTGGTTACAAACAGACCACCAGCTATCATTGGYGTCCTAAACGCAACACAATTCAAAGGCAGAAAATCTTTTTGTTGTTTTCGTTTTTTCTTTGATTTCATTTCATTTCATAACCACACTGTATACCACAATTCCATTAGATTTCATCAAACATGTGCAAAATCCAAATCATCGTCATGACAATAATAATCATGTTAACTTTTTTGGCAAGGAGATTCAAAAGCAAGAGTAACAAAAAGACAATTTTRTTGAAATAATTTCCTAAGAAGAACAAACAAGGGTCGGTTCACTTACTTTATTGGTGCAATGGGTGTATTTCTACGGGCTTGCTTTTGACCAGGAGAAAGATTGTCCCACTTAAAGTGGAGACTCCAGTCAAATCCTATCAAAAACAACATTTTTCTAAACATTAAATTAGTTGATATTTAAGAATTGACGCAATCTGTGTTTGATTGTTAGYTGCRCAAAAAAAAACTGTCATGTCACATATGTAGCTAATCAATTATGAAACTTAGCTGAATATTTTTAAACCTTTCAAGGTTTACATCTTTGAACCTGTTTTTGTATTGGGATTCCTGTTCCAGTTCTGTAGAGAGACAGGAATCCCAAAATGAAAACAGGTTCAAAGATGTGGTTGCCTTTAATACTGTGTGAATGCTAAAATAATCATTGGATTTACGGTAATTTCGCCCTGCAGTTGTTTTGCCCCAGTCTATTCAGGTAATTATACTCCAGGTGTACTATACGCCCACATATTATGTAACTTCGCCCCCGTAWCAGATAAATTCACCCAAATTTGTGGTTCCTAAAGGAGCCATTTTGTTTTWGTGCATTTGATCATTAACTTTTACATTATTTTTACATTTACTYGTTACAATCGCTAGGAACGCGTGGCAATTATGATATTTTATGTATTGAGAACACAATAGCTGACAGTTTTACATGTAGATAAAACAAAATAAAACAAACCGAAATATTGCTCTAGCCTATAAGATCTTATTCAATTTTGCAGTTTGAATATCACATGAGCTAAAGGATATGRATATATTTGAGATTTCATTTATTTTGTATTGTTATGTAAAAGGAGAGATTTTAAAATCTCAAGTGATTTTTTCTTGTTAGTGTTATTCTTATCTGAAAACATATATTGTGCAAGTTCTAAAACTAGAAGAGCAATCTAAAACTTTTAAATAATTTAATACTGCAAAATATTACAAAACAAGATAAGAGCAAAACAGTCACATTATTCTATTTCTCACGAAACACAGAGTGACACTATGAGTATATGTAAACTGACCTCCTTTAATGTCAGCTGAGGCACCAATGTAGCTAAAGTCATCCATGCTGATCACATCAATAATAGGACTAACTACTGCCTTTCTATTCTAGAATGACAATATATAAGTACCATAAATGACWAACAATGTTGCTTGCTTACATCCAGTGTGTATCGTGTGTAACTATGTAATTCATATATCAAGAGAATTTACAACCAGACTCTTATAGAATAGGAAATAGGATTTCTTGGGTCAATAATTACATGTATTAAGTCAGAGGACCAGAATAGGATTAAATTGTCTGCATCAGAGAAAATATAATTACATGTTATTAAAGGTTCTGATTCCAGATCCAACTTCATATTCCAGATTTCACTTCATTTGGAAGCTGGGAATTTGAACTTCTATGTTCCCTCTGCTTTTAACTGACASAAACACATCCACAAAACAGGCTTTAGGTGTTTCAATTAATGCTCACAAACACATTGTATTTATGCAAAGAAAGTACCTTTACAACTCTTTGCAAAAGTGGCTGGAGCCAGTCTGTGTTACATTCACAATGGCTGTCCAAAAATGTCAGAATGGTGCTCTTAGCTTTATCCGCTCCCTTGACCCTGGATCTGATTAGTCCTACAAATGAAAGATGATTATTGAATACTGTCAAAATGTTTGTCATAAATATGATGTTTTTCTAAACTAGGAATCCTTTACAAGCATTCTCCAGTATTGAATGTGTAACACAATTATTAGTTAGTAGACAATGCTACATGTACACAGTCACCCAAAAAGCCAGGACCTCACCACTAGAACATTCATCTATGCTTTGGTTTTTAATAGATATCCAATGTTGTATAAAGTACTAAGTATCATGGAAAGTAGTAYGACATTTCAAAAAATAGAAATGAAAACGTGATTGAAGATTATTGCAGCTAAAGATGTAACATGAATGAAGCAGCTTGACAGAAACTGCTGTTGCAACAATTGCAAACATTCTTTCACAACATTAATCTTCAATGTCTCTGTTAAGCACAAATTTTGTTAAACAAGGTTCACTTCTTCACTATATTATTATATAGTACACTTCCTTTCCTTCAACAAAGTGCATCAGTAACTTTTACCTTCTCTTTTGTCATTTCTTAGGACCTTGACTTTTGGAAGGGGAAGTAGTCCAAGTGCATCATTAACTGAAATCAAATCAACCAATAAACCATCAGTCAACCAMGTAATATGTTTAAATATTTCTTTCCTTGTCTGTCAAACTAGTAGTCTATTGCTAATTGCAGTTGTTTAGTCTTATGTGCAGGGATGGGTTGTGTAGTGCAATTAATGAAATATAATTAATTATATAAAACTCACCATCATCACTGAAGTCATCAACAAGGATTATTTCTTTAACTAGGTCTGGAGGACTTTTGTTTAAAATACTAAAAGTAGACACACAARATAACATATTTATAAATTATATAAACTTGTAGTAACATGTACTCACTAAAAACTGAAAAATGAATTGACAAAAGTAAGGCCAATGAACAATATGAAGGGGCGGATACGAAACCGGCCTAAGTGACGATTTAGGGTATTTTTGAAATTTTCGAAAAATTGACAAAAAATCGCTTCAATCATTTGTTTATGTACTATGTGCCAATATTCAGAGATGAATAAGTTAATAAGAATAAAATGTTATTTAATTAGAATCATGCTACAATAAAGGTGGGACTAATAATCAGTTAATATTATAATAATTATTCTTTAATARACAGAATAAAGTCATATCATAATTTACCTTTTAACAGTTCTTAATAATGTTGATCTTGCTTCATTATGGAATGTTATTATGATACTTGTTGGTGGTAATGAATTAGAATATACTTGCTTCAAACACCTACAAACACAAAATGAAGAAATCAAAAATATTCTAGTCTGAATTTACTTTACACCTTATTGATGACTTCAATCATCATATTCTATTATATTCCAAATGCAATGACCTACACATCCTTTCTCAATGTCAGTGAAATGCCCTGGTATAGGATTTACAAACTTTATTTAAAGTTCAAGCAAACTGTTTGGAATATTAATAATATTGTACAACATTTTCTCATGCCTTCTTTTGTGTTTGGTAAGTTCTTTTTGCTAGAGAATCTGATGTCAAATATTGAATTTGAAATGAAGACTTAATTATCGTGGTAATTAAAAGGTATGTTCAAGTTTCACAAGTTAAACAACTGCGGGAGCTACAGTATGAGCTTTTATAAATTTAAAAGACATACATTAATTTTATGACAATAAGGCTAGTTAGGCTTCAATTCCTTTACTACAACTGTTACCATAGCCACAGCTTTTTAACATGGTCCATGAAGATTTMATTGTCTTAGTCAATGAACTTACTGAGAATGCCGTGTATCAGGTACACTTCTGTCTGGATCTGTCTTGTCACTTATTTCTTGATTAAATTGATTTCTAGAATATTTATCCTCTCCCTCATGCAAAGCATCACCAGCAAGATACTTGTCAGCATTAAAGGGTGGTCGAGATATACCATCTTCAATATGGACATACTGAAAGGAAAATAACAGATTACCATAATTGGCAGCACTTAGAACTTATTTAAAGTGACATTATTATCAACTGTGCYGAAAAGCAATTATTTTTTTAAGAAAGGAAAAGGTGACTAATAATGTGCATGTATAATCAATGCACAAAATCAGGATTAATAAGGGTAAGGATAAGGATTAATGAGATCTGAACACTCTGGATTTTATTCCAATTGGTCTTATAATGAATTACGAGTTGATAGTCCCTGAACAGTGTAGCCCAGTATGGCCTCTGTGATCGACTATTAACTTGGRGAGGGGGACTCCATTATAATAAAGGGCRGGGGTCCTTGTCAGAAATTCTGAAAATGACCCCTAATCCATTGGTTTCCCAATTTTTATTACAAGTGTTTTTGCACAAGCATCGAAAAGCTTGGCMCGTATTGAGTGTATGAAGACGYTGTCATAGAAATAATATATGATGACGGCTTAGGGTTGTCATATTATAATTATGTAAWGACCTATCCAAAGCTTTTGTTGTGTACTTTGAAAAGTACATTATTATGAAGATTTTCTTATTTGTGGATATGAGTTACAGTAATCTAAAACAATCAGTTTAAGAAAATCCTCCTTTCAGTTGTGAAATCACTGTAAGTTACACATTCTGCTTACCAGAAGCTACYTTTTATAAATAAACATTTATTTTATAAGTATACAATTTTTTCCCTTATAAATTTAAGCTCACCAGTTGCKAAAACCACAAAAAACTTGATAACAATATTGAGATGACTCAGATAATCTTAATTAAATTTTGCCCAGCTTACACAATATACTATACAACAGGTGCAAAAAAAACAGTTTAAATTACTTTTAGACTTTAGCTTTCTTTGTATTGGAATAATATTTAGGAAACAACTTTATTCTCAACAGCTTTTTTGAAAATATTTATAAGCAATAAAAGGATGGTTKCCATTGTTGATTGGTGACACAAATTTGAAGCATGCACGAGTATTATCAAAGAAGGACATAATTTCTTCAATATATTCCCAAGTGCATATTTAACCATAGACAGTATAATATGAACTTTTATTACTTTCATGATGTAGCCTGTTATGTTCTCTCAATAGTTTTCACTTAGAAGCACAATAATGCATACTCAGYKTTGTAACAACCAGACASCACATATAGCAACAAATGTTATATTGACTGGAAATGTCTTCGATTTTTTATTCAAAGAAAGCAATTTTCTACAAGATCATTAAAAAAACAAGCTTAATGCACATGTGAGTTAAAGGTATAAATAATTAAATTATTCACATCTTAGGCKCAAAGCCACAAACTAGTGATATTCATTAACTTACAAACTTTAATACAATTTTATATAAGCTTCATTAAACATTAATAGCAATCCCAAGTGCCAAGCCTAAACTGAAACAATCTATAAATACAAAAATTGTACTCCTTACAGAATGTAGGATTTGTCTTTAAGTTGCTATCGACAATAGTATTTAAAACTGGTAATTTATGCTAATTTGCTGACGTGCATCTATAGTGCATGGCTGAATTCATTGATTGTGACAGTTGAGGAAATCGATCGTTATTTTCGTTTAAATCTATAACTTAACATTAAAACCGAGCATTCCCATTTTGAGAAGTAAAAAGTAAAATACGAGTTCTTTGACATAATTAGCAATAAATAAAATAAATTCAAGTCCATAAAGTTAAACTTATAACTAAACTTACTTATTCAGTGAAGAAATACCGTACTAGGCTTGTTAGGATTGAATATCGATCTTTTGAAAATTTGTGATGTACATGACAGCTCTTTAGCTATTACAATTACCAAGAGTAAATTTGGTRGAATAAAAGGCAGAAGAAGAAGGAGAATAGACAGCCATGTTATCTAATAACATGTACTGTTTGCCCAYTTCTGCATGATAAAATTTGTGACTCACCTTAGGAGGAGTTGGTCTAAACAAACCCGAGTCTGATGCRAAGTAAATGATAGCTAAAAACCAGATAAATATTATGGCTAACAGAAGAACTCTCCTTCTTCTATAAATCATATTTACATCTGTACAGGCAAGAGTCCTTATATTATACACAACTTTTTCATCACTCGSATATCATGAACGACTACATTCCTATTAGACTATTCGATTAGGAGACTGGGAACGATTCTTAACAAACAGCAGGGACATTTGTTGACGCTGACCGCACGAATATCGCGGGCAACGCATGAAAGTTGACGTTTTTCATAAAAAGGCGGGAATGAAAGACTCTTGAAAATGCCTCACTTTTTGCTCATGATCAAAAGACATTTGAGAAAATTCTATCAGGAATAACGAAAGAATGGGGTCTTTTGTTTACAACGTGCTTGTTTTTAAGCGAAAATAATGTCTTATTTGGAAATGAGTTCAAGCGATCTTCCACACAGGACACGAACGGCTSAACATTTTATGAAACCAAACCATATCATGAAAAGTCAAATTTCTCAACAGTGTCAGTGAGATCAAAAAAGCCATCCATATCTGGTGTATTTTGTCACAGGGAGGACAGGGAGTCATGAAACTGGATAAACATGTTAAAATTTATTTATAAAGACTGAAATGATCACGATCTAATGTGTCTAAGATTATGCGATTCACGTTAGATGGCATGTTTTTGTATACACATGCAAGCAAACAGAAATTTCTTGGTAATTTATAAACGAAGCGAGTTGAAATCCAAGATTTACATTGTCAGAAGTTGTATTAATTACCTGATGCAATTTGGACGACATCAATATGGAAGTTGTTTGTGAAGTTTCATCATGAAATATCCACTTCAATATAAATGTCCCGGGGGGGGACTCCCTAATATCAAAGGGCGGGGGTCCTCGGCGTCCCTTTTAGGGTTTGAAATCGGTATTTTGGTCCCGCTTAGGGTGATAATGACGAGAATTCACACTAACTGAGTTTTGTGGTCCTTTTAGGGTATATGACGTCCCTAAGCCGTCATTGAGAGGTTTAGCATAACGTTCACGGCAAACGCCAAACTGCAGAAAAGATCACGTGACTTGCTTTTTTTGGATTTTAACGTCGCAGATCAACGCGAGAGCGGGTTAGTTTGAGATTGCCATAATCGTGAAAAGCCGCTCTTTCAAATGACTACCAAAAGCACAAGGTCAGGCACGAAATTCTTAGGTCATTGGTTCAGCTCTGCCGTTAGCCGTTTGCCGTCAACGTGATGCTAAAACTCTCTAATTATGAGATCAAAAACCACAGCTGCTAAATAGTCTGTCTCCTTCACGGATACCTGCGCCATCTTGAAAGGTAGCCGTGCCTTTTCACCGAAGCGAGACGACCGTTGAGCGTGCAATAATTGTCTATAGGACGGTGTGAAAGAAGGTTTCTATCATTGCACGCTCAACGGTTGTCTCGCTTCGATGACAAGGCACGGCTACCTTTCCAGATGGCGCAGGTAACCGTGAAGGAGACTATTAGATGATTGATTTTATTTTAATCAATTTCACGTCTTGTCACTTAACACTCCTTAATAGACGAGATTATTGGTCCCTTTTAGGGATGAAATTTCAGCACTGCCACGCCCATCATCTCCAAATACAGGTCCCTCTTAGGGGTCATTTTCATAATTTCCGCCGAGGACCCCCGCCCTATGATATTAGGGAGTCCCCCCCCCGGGATAAATGTTTGGTTCTTTCAATTTTGAATAACACACCAGGACTTTTGTCGTAGCCTCGGATCTTTATCACCCGATACAACACGCTCTCTCGTTCTGTATACATTACTTAGTGGTTGCACACTTTTTGTGCTTATAGTATCTTCTATTCAAGATGGCGCTACTTGCCTTAAAAAGAAATATCAAACTTCTAGAGTCGCTTTAGGATTTTAATTATATCAATGTACAATATACACAATTATAAGTCGAGGCAGAGGTTGYCTCACCATGAAGGTATTGGCAGAACAGTGCTAAAGCACAAAACATATCAAGCTGGTACGTCATCCCTCAGTGATTTGGACTCTAAATCCTGAGTGTAGTTTGTTGCCTGTGGCTCTTCGTCATTGGCTGGGCACTCGAAATGGACGCAGTGAAATACCTT